CTTTGAACACAAGGTCCTGCTTTTTGCAAGCGCTCCACGCCTACACACTCTATACATGGAGAGGGCTTCAGGTTCAAGCAGTAGTAGTAGTAGTAGTAGTAGTAGTAGTAGTAGTTGCAGTAGCAGTAGCAGAAGTGCGTTGGCGGCGGTGGTGGTGGTGGTGGTGGTGGTGCTGTTGTTGCTGCTGTTGTTGCTGTTGTTCTTCTTCTTCTTCTTCTTGGTGGTGGTGGCGGTGGTGGTAATGCAGAAGCAAGGTCGTCTTCGCCGTGCTTCCCGCGCTTTCTGCGAACTTACATCAGAGGTCTCCTTGTGTTGATCCGTCTATTGTGTTACTTAGTGACGTCGACCTGTTGCTTGCATTGGCTGACGGAGTATTAGGTAGGCTTGCTGGGCCTGTGTCTTCCCCTAAGTGCTGACAGTATGAACTCCGTGCCCTGCCACGTGCAAGGCGTGCACCGAAACCCAATTTCCAACACACTCTATAACAGTAAACTCCAGAAACATCGAATATCTAGAAATGGAGCAGCAGGAGCTATGGTCTTGTTGATGTAGATGTTGGGCACGCGCTCAAGAGGGATCCCTGTTTTCCCTCCCGCCTGCAGCCTCGGCACTGCATTGTAACTCATGCAGATCAGAAAACCTATTGAAAACCGGGCATTCAGGAGATGAACTTGCTCCATATCATCCCTATTTATTTAGTCTCTGTAAAGGGTCCCTAAACGGCCAAGCCCTGAGAAGGGCATTGAGAATTGCTGCTCACGACTCCACATCGAGCTGCCGACAGCACTCCCCCTTTCTCTTTCGCATTGCCCATGTCTGGCGCCTTGGGAATATCCGGAACATGATGGCATCCGCAGACAAATGTTACGCCCAGGCTCGCAGCTTCCCTGTGCTCATCTCAGCCTGGCCCTGCCAGGCACTCTTGGTTTTGCGCATGGTCGCTTCCTTCAGGACCTCCTCGCCAGGCTTGCCATCTGAGAGCTTGAAGGTCATCCGCCTGCCAGTCTTCACCGCAAAAGCGCAGGCCGCCAAGCGATGTACGTAGGTCGTGCCGTGAAAAGCGAAAGCTGGAGTCAGAATGCCTCCACGCCTCAAGGGTTGCATGGCTTCCTCTTCCTCCACGATCACCAGAGCACCAGTGACAGCAGCCATGGCTGTCACCTCATAGGCTTCCCCTCCCGTGTAGTGAACATGGGCCCACCTCCCATCTTCGGCCTCCCCGACAGCAAAAACCTCGGAATAAAATTGGGCTCGCGTCTCTGGTGGGGGCCCTTCTCCAGGCTTGGGCATCTGACCCTGAGCCACTTGCATCTTCATGAGGCCTGCGGCAAACTTCGCAGCCTCTATGCTGCGGATTGGGGCCATCGCCTCGGTGGCCTTCTCGCCCGCACGCTTGCTCGTGGCCGCATCGCGGATGATGACACGCAGATCTTTTCCATAACGTGCAGCGGAATCGCCTCCAAAGTCTTCAAACAGCTGGCAGCTGCGCCGAATAACACGGCCCCCAGTGTGTCCGTTGTATGCCGGCTGCAACCATAGGGAGGGGTAGATGGGATCCTGCGCAGTCTCGGAGCAATCATGATCCTCGGGCTGCACACCTCCGGATCGCTGGCCTCCGAGGTTGAATGGATCGTTGTAGACCTTCAGCTTCTCCGCTGTCATCCCCTCCATGAATGCAGTGTTGCTGGCAAAGGTCCCTCCTGTCATCCCACCGTAACTGAAGAAGTATTCACGAAACTGCTTCAACGGCCCCAGCTTCTTTGCCAAAAGGTAACAGTTGATGTCATCAATCGCACAGACCTGTGCTGCTGCCTGAACGAGAAGGAGGCCTTTCTGCCTCGCCTCCTCGTGATAACGGTCCAGCATGTCGTGCATCCAAATCGTCTCACCAGTAATGTCGACGTAGTGCGTGTGGTTCTTCACGCAGGCACGGAGCACCATTTCCCCACATTGGGAGAACGGGCCTGCGGCCGCGACAAGGACAATGCATTGGCGGGCAACCTCTTCCAGAGAAGCTTCACTGTCCGCCACGAGCACCTCTGGTACAGTTGAGCAAGAAGAAGCCAAAGCCTGCAACCTTTTCAGGTTCCGACCGGCGATGACCCAGGTTTTCGAGCTTTCTTTGGCGTGTCCGCCGGTAAAGAGAGCGTCCAGATGTTCGACCATCAGACGTCCTGTGAAGCCCGTGGCACCCACCACAGCGATGGCATATGGCCGCTTCAAACTTTTTGAGGTAGCTGCAGGCTTCCTGGCTACCACATTCTCTGCGTCCAGGGGAACCAGGAGCTCTTTGCCCTTTAGCCTGATGCTTACCCAGCCAGTCTCAGGGCCCTCCCCCTCAAGTTTTCGGAAGTTGAGACGCTCGCCCGAAAGCTGCAGCTCCTCCGCGCTATATTCGGGTATGGTATACGGTAGGTTAAGGGTATAATTATGGGTATACTATAACACATACTAGGATGCATGAATTGGGGGGGGATGTGCTGGTGCATGTTAGGGGGTATATGAAGGTATACTTTTGGTGTAATCAAGCGCAGCTCCTCCACAACTGCATGGGTGGCAAGTCTGGCGTCAAGCTGCTCCGAGCTGGTCTCCTTCTTCTCACGAACGAGAATTCCACCCTTGTCCCCGCCGCCTACAACCTTCCAGCGCGCTTTCTCCGTCATCACAATACGAATAAAAGGATTAAAACAAAATGGTAACACAAGGAAGGCTTCGCTACATCACGTGATGGGAGGCTTGACTGGTGCTCGGTGAGAACGGTGCTACCAGAGCTATGTGGAAAGGACTTGTCTTCTGTGTCATCTCGCCTCTGCAGAAACAAGAAATTAGAACACATGTTGGGAAAGCTACTGCTGGATCCTCAAGAAAGCTTGAAACGGCAGACAGACACACCGTAAACCTCTACCATCACCTCCCACATACCCATAGCTAGAGCCTTTGCAGCCATTGCTTTGGGGCTCCAGGCTGCTACTCTGGGTATCTATATAAGGTCCCCGTAGCCCCTACGGACCCACTTCGAGGTTTAGGCTTTAGGGAGGGTTTAGGGCCAGGCAAGTCCGCTGAATAACCCCAACACCACAATTCCTCAGCTGACGGGCATGCTGCTATTCGCTCTGCCCTTGCTCTGAGGATGATGCCAGAATGGGTGTGTTGGGGAACGCTAGCTACAAGAATGGGCGTGCTAGGGTTAAATTTAGGTCTATCCGGTGCACAAATCCCTAAACTCCTAAACCCTAAGCCCTAAGCCCATCATGCCGGGCATAAGAATGGCTGCACCAGATTTTGACTACCTGGGCACCTGGATCTCTGTACGGCAAAGGGCTACCAAAGACTCTGCGCCGTCTCCGCGGTTCGTCGAGCTCAGGGGTCTAAGGGGGTCTGAGGGCTTAGGGTTTAGGGGTGTAGGGATTTAGGGGTCTATAGGGGTTTTAGGGTTTAGGGGTTGAGGGCTGGGTTCAGGGGTTATAGGGCTTGTAGGGCTTAGGGTTTACTTAGAGGTGTGTCTTGGAGGGTCGGGGTTGGGCTTGCAGGTCGTGGATGGCGGGAGGTTTCGCGGTGGGGTTTTTACTTCCTAGGGTTTGGGGTTGAAAGTCTTCGGTTGTGTCCGTAGGTTAAGAAAGCCCTAGCACAGAATTTACGGTACCCCGCGAACAGTTGGCTATGGTGGCTCAGGTTTACATGTAGCGCTCTCCTGACTGTGATGGACATATCCTGGGGCTTGGATTCTAGCGTCGAGTGAAGTGGGCGAGAGAAAACAGTTTCAAACTCAGGGCCGAAGTTACTGTAGCTGAGAATCTAGGAAACCTATGACTTGAGGATCTTATTTCGGTGATTTCCTGATCCCAGGCCCGGCCGAGCGCGATTTGAAAAGTCTAGTCAGGCGCAGCAGGTTTCCGTTAGAGGCTTGCGAAGATGGGCCCCGCCCACAACCCAAAGCAAAAACCTGAAAGCCTGAAAACCGTTGAACTGTAAACCCGCTCCAAAGCCTACAATCCTTTGCAAAACAAATTGTAGAACCCTTTAAATTTGTGAAACCCTGCTAGAATCCTGCAAGAGCCTTAGAACAGATCGACCCCGCCCTTGTTTCCGCCTGGACCTCATGGAGCCGTCCTGCGAAAGAGACGGAGTTATGCCAACATGCGAGCTTTCACTTGAACTACTGTTGATGATATAAATCCTGCATGACCTCAAGGACCCTAGACCAAGGAAATTATGGTACATTCCTGATTTTGGTAATTCAGCATTTATATCATCAACCGTACCAACCTACGTGCCCGCCAAGAGAATGCGATCGGCCTCAATTGCCATCGCAGCCCCATGGCACGACATACGGCCAACATTGAAGCTTCTCGCAACGGTGACGATGCCAGGAATGCGTTTAGGGTTTAGGCTCTATAGAGTTGAAGACTGCCACCTGCTCCTTCCCAGCATACCCCGCAGCAGCTGCAACACGCATGATCTTAAACACGCCGGAGGAATGCAATGCAACTTTCGGTCACACAACTCGGGCTTTTCGGGTTAGCCAGGCGAGCAAGGCAACGGGCAATGGCAAGAGCAAGTGTTGCGGATGATGCCAAGTCAAAACTTCGGGGGTCCCCTTGCCAAAAACCCTGCCGAGTTGGAATCTTCCGGCCTACAAGCTCGTCAGAGTCACCGAGTCACAGAAAAGGACTTGTACTGTGATGCAATTTTCGAAAACTTCCTCCAAAACTTGTCCAAGGTCTCAACTCGAAGCGGGCATATCTCCATGCTGAGTCCAGTTTTTTTTCTGCAGCTTTCTCGTCGCTTCCCGTCTTGTCCAGTCCGATGAGTCGAAGGAGTTTGCATGTCGGAGGCTTCTAGGCTCCCCGTGCTAGGCCCGTGCTGCAAGTCCTCGCGGCACGATGACATATTTTGTTATTTTCAAAAACTCTTCCAAACTGGACTTTGACCTCTCTTTCATACTTCCTGCGAGGAGGGGAGCACCTGCTGGCCTGGCCATCGAATTTTTCGATGCAGCTTGAATTCTCCTCTGGCATCTCACCATGTGTAGCACAAATCACTACCCAACATGTCCAAGCGGACCCCAGTCGATCCATTCCCAGCTGGGCCCTCAGACGCGTGAATCATGCGAACGAAAACGTCGTCTCCTCGGCCGTCTCCCCAACAACCTGGCAACAAGGTCCTACACACAGTGCCACACTTGAAGATTTCAAAACTCGATCTTGTAGGCTCTTCATAGCAAGATCATGCATATACCTATAGGCTTTGTTAAGCCCAAAGAGCGAACCCCGAGACGGCTAGGATGCGTTTATCAAGACCACTACAACAGGAACGGCTGAAGTAAGGACTTAGGCCTTGTTGATGCCTGATTATTCAATTTGGGGGATTCTAGGGAGCTCCTGGCAATGTGCCGAAGGTCCAGAGGTATCTGATGGGTTCAGGGTTCCTGGTGTACTTGATGCAGGCGTATACGCACCTTCGAAGGTTTCTTCAAGTAAGATTCTGCGTCTGACTACCCATCATCTTTCAAGGAGGTGTGGGGGTTTTGGGCACGGTGTCATCGTTTAGGTGCTACGTTGACGGAGCTAACGGTCCAAAAGGAAGCTTGCTAGTCGCAGATACACATATCAGCTGCTGTCATACTACAACAACTACTGCCCCTACCGCGAAAGCTACTTCTGCTGCTGCTCCTACTACAACGACTACTACTGGACGACGACGAGTGAATTGCAGCTTTTGGGGAGCAGTACCCAGTCATGACATCTGACCTGATCCACTTCTCGGACGCGAACTCGTCGTCCTTCCTGAGTCGCGTCTTGCTGCATGCATTGATACCCGTGCTGGAGCCCTCTTTCCGGGAGACATAGGGCGATGTTTGAAGAATCAACAGCCCCCTAAACCCTAAACCCTAAATCTTCCTAAGCCCTAAACCCCTAAACCCTGTAGACCCTAAACTTATGACAAACAAACCTCAGTGACACCAAGAATAGACACCTGTCGACGTGCCTCCGGAAAGCCTGGGAGATGATCGGAAGCTCTATGAACACCGCCCGTGATGTATTTTGGATTCTAGGTTTATGAACGGCCTTTGCTTCGACCCGGAAGATTATGAGGTGTAGGGTTCAGCGTTCCCAAACTACATCCATCACCTCATAATCCGGAAACCCCAAAGGGCCCTGCGGTTGGCATGGGGTCTGCTGGTGTTGCCGCCGAATGCGACAGAGCCAAAACGACTCAGTTTTGACACTGGTCCAGTAGTCCTCTTCTGCTTTAAGGTTCATGTTGCCTTTCAGTTCCTGGCTCCCTGTCGTCCCCGAGACTGGCCATGAAAGCCCAGCCGAGCCTCAGATCCTTTCTGTGCCCGAATGGGGAAAGCCCGGTGCCCAGCTGCTCAGAATCCTAAACTTCCAACACGATAACCTGAAAGGCCGAACCCTAAACTCGATAGATCCTAAGCCCCAAACCCCCAACCCTAAACCCGAAACCCTAAACTCTATAGATCCTCCTTGGCAGAGCGTCCCTAAACCCTAAACCCTAAACCGTGGCTCTGCTCTGCTTTCTCGGCAGAGCGGCCATCTCGTCAACTTGAAACTTGCGATTCCAGGGCCACCGGAGCGCCTCGGCTTCGTTCACCTGGGTGAGGGAGGGGAGTTCAGGGGCTTTGGGGGTTTTGGGTCTACCTCCAGTCTCCATTGTAGTTCCTTTTTGGGGTTTAACCAATTCTATATTGAGGATCCCAAAAGGTAACCCCAAAAAGGAACTGCAATGGAGACAACAGGTAGGAATCAAGAGGGTTTGAGGTGTGGGCTTGACCATCCCGGCACTTCGATCTTTGCCACGTGACATCTTCTTCCCTTTTAGAAGTAGCACAGCAACACCATCAACTTCAAGGCCCCCAAACTCTGGGCCCTTTGTTGGACGTTTCTGGCGATTTTGGACTGCAAGAGTGGCGTCATCTTCTACTCATGGCTGCCATGGATAACTTCAACGAAGCACCAATCCCAGCTTGTCAAAACTGTTACCGCAACAAAAACCCTCAGCTCTGAACACCCCAAACCTGCTGACCTTGCAGGACTGATTGTCGGGGATTGCAGTTTAGGAATTCCACCACAACCTCTTCCAACTATTCAGACTTGGATCTGCTCGGGATATTTAGGGGTAGTTGCGGCGGCAGCATATGCAGCACAAGCTGACAAAAGCTGGAGAGGGCTCCGTTTCTTACGAGTGCTCTTCTACATATGAGTTGTAGTGGCGTCCACTTTCGACCATGTTTTGTTCGTTGCCTGATCCGGCCCACTTTCATACGTATGTGCTGATCGTATATACGTACGTACGTAAGTGTGTATATATATATATTAATATATGTATACATATGTTTACAATTTTACAAGAAGGAAGTGTCACAGGCAATCATTGGAACCTACTAGCATGACAAGCGCTGAAGCAAGACAAGATCGCCCGCCGTGCGCGAATGAGCGGACAGCGATGAGATCCAGATGGCAGCTGGAACCTCCGGGCTAGACTTTCCTGACTTAGATTTTAGCATGCTAGGGACGGGTGAAAGTGAGGCTTCGGTCCCTTAGGTCAACTCCAGCTGGACAAGACCTAAGAGGCTTTCGCACGGAGATGTTTTCCCCATGAGGGACGCAGCCAACGCAAAATACAGTTGTCGAGAGGCCAGTCATGAGTCTAAGCAGCCAATCTCGAACACAAATCCTTGGATGCCGACCTTGCACCCTAAATCCGAAACTGTCCTGCCATAGCTTCTCAGCTCAAGGGCTTTTGTTGTAGGTTTTCGGTCTTAGGATTTGGGGCAGGATCGGAACTGCTAAGCAAGAGGCCACGACAAGATATGGCAAACGAACTTCTTCAACGCCTTAAACCCCCGCACTGTAGTGCAGGCGTCGAGCACCCGCACCCGCAGCAGCTTCTAAACTTCTTCGAACGATGACACATGTATGGCGGTTGCCGCCAGCAACTTAATGCAAAAACGCTGAAACCGTGTGCCATAGGCAGCTCAAGAAGCTTTTGCAATCATCTCATGATCCGTACACGAAAAATCCTAAATGCCCAAGCCCAAAGACCAAAGGGAGCCTCAAGCTTACCTGAGCCTTCAATGCTCGAGCGTATTCCTCGCCCCTAACTTCGGGGAAGCCGCTTGAAGAGCCGGTAGACTGCCAGCCGACGGTTCCCTGGGGCCGTGCCGCTACGCAAGGATCCCTTCAGGAACCCATGATGGGAGTTTCCCATAAGAAGGGTACCTTAATTGGGGGTCCTTATAAAAAGGATCCTACTGCTTAGGGTACTATATTAGGGTCCCCTATTTTCGGAAACCCCCATATACAACAGAAGCCGGAACTGCAGAGTTCAGCATGCCCTCTTCAGGAAGCCTGTGGAAATACATGGAATACCGCCGCCAGCTACGGAAACCTGTTAGGATTAAATATGTGTGTTCCTCAACTGCTGAATCTCATGAGAGACTGAGGAACAAAATAACTACTTCGTGGCGGAGTTGAAGCCTTATTACACCTTCTTCTGTCCAGATACCGCCTTGAGAAAAGATCCCTACGGAACCCCTCAACCCGAAACCGCTTTTCGACATCTGGCTACGGGCTTGAGAGCTTTGGATTTCTGTTTCGATAGCTCCTGCAGTCAGCCGCGATTCCGAAAACCCGACGGGTTATACTGTGCCAGCATCAGATCGACATCACAAGTCTCAAGCTCGTGAGCGCGATACCCCAGACCAGAAATCTTAGATTCCGCCGAAAAACCCTTGGAACCCAAGCCCCTAATCAGCCATCTCAAAGAACCAAGTCGCCCATGGTGTGAAAATGGCCCTGGTGCCATCGAACCTGGAGAAGTCTCTCTGATCCTTCTTTGCAGTGGCCATTCTTGGTTTTTGCTTTCTTTTGTCCGGGTGTCGGGTGTCAGGCTTAGGCTTGGGCCGGGTTCGGGGCCGGGTTCGTAGGACACACGGTTGGCTGCAGGGTTGATCAAGAGAGATGTCGCAATCGTCGAAAATTTGCTCGTCTCAACGACAAACATGATGAGGCCGGGCTTTTTGGGTTTATTGGGCATACCGAGCTTACTGAGTTTGTCGGGTTGTCAGGGTTTTTCGGCTCGGGCCTGGCGGGCTGATCGGATTTTCCGAGTTTGGCGGGGTAATCGGACATCGTAGCTTTATCGGGCTTGTCGGGTGTAGCGGAGCGTGGGTGTTGTTTCCGAGCAATTCTGGTTCACGTCCATGGTCTCTCTTCACGGGTTTTCAACGGGGTCCGACCAATGAGGGTCTAGGTTCTGCCATGGGTCTCTTTTCTCTGCTAAAACTGCTGCCGGTTGTTCACTAGGGCTCTCTTCCAGCCAACATGTCCAGAGTCGTTGAGTATACTGAAGACCCGATAGCTTAGGGGGATCTCTGCGTCGAAGCACCCACAACTCCCCAAAAGGCCCAGGGACGGGAAGAGGACCAACTTTGCTGAAGTCACGCTTCCGCGCCCCTTGCCTGAGCAGGGTTCAGGGCTTCGGGCAGAGGTCTTAACTTCTATGAAGCGCTAAGACGTTAGAGCCCAGGGCTTAACACCATATATCAAGCACATCCTTTCTTGGGGGCACCTGTTGAAGCCCCCAGAGAACCTTGAGTCCATCCTATTACAACATCTCTGATGCCGCCGGGATGCAGTAGCTTCTTTACTGCCTCCTGCAGGGGGCTAAGACTCCTCATTCTCGCAATCCTGCACTACCTTTGCTCCCTGAAAGCCCAGACCCCCTAAACCCTAAACCCTAAACCGCAAATTTACTACAGGCGCCACAGAATGCCATGATCTCTCTGTTCCCGGCGAGCTGGCCTCTCTCAAATCCTAGAGCCTCGCGCGTAGACGTCCCGCAAAATGAGAGCCCGACGTTCCGTTTAGGGTTTCGGGCAAAACGCCACAAAGCTCGACTAATGAATCAGGGAACTTTCCCGAAAGTGCGGTTATAGTCATAGTTCTAAAATGTAATTGCTGCAATTACCGACGTCAGGGTAGTCTTGAACCTTCAAGTCAGCCCCCTATGTAACCAGAATCCCTCAGCCCCACTCGCACTTAACCCCAGTCTTCCGAAAACAACTCTTGTGCCCCTCGCAAGACCCTATCCTCCTGAACCCGGCCTCTTTGCAGCATGATCTAGACATGAGAAAGATTCCCAGGATCTTTAACCAACAGCTTGAATCTTCAGGTCCCGACAACTAAACAGACTAAATAGAAGATCAGATACCTCGGAAGCCCCTTCATCAAGTGGACGTGTCCTATGGCAAGCACTACCATTGCACTTCTCGCAACTGCGCACCGCGCATCAATCTTGCTACGAATGGCATGGTTCCTCCAAGATATCGCTGTTGTTCTACCTTCGTGAATTAGTTGGCCTGCATAAAAAATTCATTGCAAGTACGAGTCTTCGTAAAGCCGGTTGTGACTGGCAGCCCCCCTGAACCCTCCTCCAGCGGCAGCCCGCTGCGGAAATGCGGGCTGATTGCAGGGTGGGAGAATCCTTGCGAGGCTTCGGATTTGGGTTTAAGGGCTCTGGTATCTAGGCTTCTTTGGGAATGAGTTTAGTGGGTTTAGGGTTTAGGCTTTAGGGTTTGGGTTTCCAAGGTGGGGACCATGAACTGAAAGACCTTATACCGTCTACCTTAGCATCAGAGCTTGGCAAGGTTCCCTCGGTCCACCCCGTTCCACCTCCAACCCGGCAGATCGCCAAGCATCGAACATCTGCAGGATCGATGAGGAAAGTCTCCTCCGGCCGGTGGGGGCAAGGCCCATGTAGCACCGCAGACCTGGAGACTCGAATTAGATTCGGCTTTGGCTTCTCTGATACTCGCACTAAATGTATGTCATCGCTGTACGAAATACTTATGACTTGTATGTACATATACACCCCCTGCGCTCTACATTTCTACTGGATTTGACGGGACAGGACTATGGGCTCTGGCTGGGAGAGAGCTTTGTGTTGGATAGATAGAAGCTTGCGGGTTGCAGTGCAATATGCACCCGAAATCCATTCTAGATTCTACCCATAGGCTCCATAGTAGTTCCTTTTTGGGAATACCTTGTAGGATCCCAAGTATGAACCACAAAAAGGAACTACTATGGAGCCTCTGGGTAGACGTCACATGATTCTGATTGTCTAATGCGCTCACTCATTCCATGCACTGAATCTCATGGTGCTTCCCGAAAGATCGCGGATGCCCCGCTCAGGGCTGACGGCCAGTGGAACAGGGAAAAAAAACAGGCGACACCAGTCGGTCCAAGGGCTGCAGGCTCCGGCTTAAGGCTAACTGCTCGGGGCTGCGATGTAGAAAGCCTACAGAACGATGCTGATCGTAGCAGATGTCAAGATTTCGCGTAAAAATTATAAATCTCTGCCAGAGATGCCGCACCCTAAGCCCTAAACCCTTAACACCTATAAACCCTTATGCCTAAACCGTTAACCATCCTTCACCCCTAAACCCTAAACCTTTAACCCCTAAGCCCTAAACCAGGGCTCGACCCGAACCTGAGACTGTTTCAGAAGGCAGCTGCCGGAGCCCTGAACTCCCAGGCAAAAGACGCATCCAGGCGGCAGGGTCTGCAGCACCTCGTCCCCGAAGAGCTGCCAAATCTCCGAAGGACGTAGAATCGGCGAAGGTCTCGCCTGATGGCTTTGGGAAGTGGGTCGGTTGCTTTCGCTTAGGGTCACTGTTGGCCAAGGTCCCTCGCGAATGCCAAGAAACACAGCAGACCCAAGCCTGGAACCCTAACGCCTTGCATCTTTGAACCTGTCACCTGTGGATGCCTTCATGTCCTACTTCGCACAGCCTGTGGGCGTCGGGACTTTTCAAAGGGCCTTCGCCAAGTGGAGCTCTTGGTTCAGGCACGGCGACAGGGCCACCAAGGCCTCCTTGGCCGCTTGAGCCTGCCGAGGTGCCCATTTGGGACTTTCCGAAAATTAGGGCACCTTGTTTTGGGGTCCTTATGATAAGGACCTTACTATTAAGGGTACTGCATTAGGGTCCCCTATTTTCGGAAACCCCCATTTTGCTGGCGTCTTCAGAACTCTTGAGCTGCAACAGCCGCAGCACACTCCGTGCAGCTCTTCGATTCGTCGGCAAGGGGTGGAGCGGGAGTCGGAATGTTGTGGGATGAACGAATTGTTGGGAACTGCCGGGCTTCATTGGTTCTGAAAGACCTCATCGCAGCGTTCGGTCTGACTTCGGATTCAGGCTGTGCTGCGACTGGTAAAAGGGTGGTTTCAGAAAAGTCTAGAGCTTCGCTCCGTGGACCGCGCAGGCCCAGGTGCGGGGACCCACCTTGCGACGTTCTGGTTAGTACAGGGCTTCCGAAAGGCTTTTACTCGTGTATTTACAAACCTTCTACATCTTTTCCAATAAGGTTTGTGTAGGTTTTCAATGACTTTCTGCTGGAGTTTGGGGGCATGGGTAATCCTAAACATGATCCTCGAGATATCACTCTAGTAGTCTCTCCTGTAATACTAGAGCCAGTTAGTTAGCTATAAGACTCTCACTGAAGAGGCCTGAGTGGGTGAAGCCCAGTAACTAACTCTTGTATACATCCGGGCTTTGGAACATTGTCATGTAATCCATGAAGATTCCGGCGCTATCCAGAAGGATACAACTGAAACCTCCCCCTCATCCCGTGTCCTTCAACTTCTGGCACTCCTCCTTGCCATCGTTCTTCGCATGCGCGGACAGCTGCACGACGTACACCGCAGCACCTCGGGTGCAATCGCTACCGCCGTCGCGGCGACGCCCCAAACCCGGATACGCAACGGAACTCCGAAAGTCCGCGTGCTCAGACCTGGGACCTGACCGCTACACAGCGGGATTCCGAAGTTAGAGACTTAGCGGTGCCTTGTCGGGGCGTCCCCTGTTTTCACCTATCATGAAATGCCCTGGCACCGAACAGGCCCTCGACAAAGTCCTCCTGCAGGTCTTTGCGGCTCTGCCTTGCAGCGAACGGCTCCAGGCTGTCGGGCCTTGTGGTCTCTGCCTTTTGGGTTTAATTTGGGTTTTTGCAGGCGCTTTACTGTAAATACCGGGACCGCTCACTGGGATACATATAGATAACCATCCACGTGGCTATGCAGCAAGACTGTGAAGAACGAAAACCTCCAAAAGCCTACCCTAAACCCTAAACCTCCTACCCTAAACCCTAAACCCCCTACCCCAAACCCTAAACCCTAAACCCTGCTTCCAAGGAGAGCGCAGGGCACCTGAAGAGTGCCCTGCGGAGGTCGTTGCGCCACTGTCGGCAAAGATGCGCCCTGTGGTGGATCCTCTCGGCTTTCTCCTGTGGCTCGTTCTTTACTCCGTCTTGAGATGTCTTTAGGGCCGTTAGGGTTTAGGACTATAGAGTAGTTACAGCCTTTAAAGTGTCTATCCTTATAGCTTGGGGACTCGGTGCCCCAGCTCCAAGGGTCGCTCGTGAGTGAGCCTGGGGCCGGGTTCTTGACAGGGGTTTTGCCGTTGGGGCTGCGACTCTCGATGTAAACCGCTCTATCAAGATCTTGTCACAGAATCGTTCTCGGAGATCTTGAAGAACTCGTCTGCCAGGCAGAACGAATTCTGCTGGTCTGAACTTGAGGGGTATGGCATACTCAATATACATGCACCCTAGAGAAGCAAGCACTCGGCGGGAACCCTCTGCTTATAGCCCCCCATCAGAGGGATGGCTCATGCTCATGTGGATTGGCTCTGGCTTCGCAAGCTCCTGCAGCTCGCCGAACTTCGAGAGCACCAGGTCGACAGCTTGCTCAAGTTGATCGCGAGGATACGTCGGAAGTCCTTTGTCTCTGGTGCAGGGTATAGGTTTGCCTAAACCACTTCTTGGAACGCGTAGGGCTGACGCGGTCGAGCAAGGCTTGGGATATTTCAGGAAAGATGTGCGATTGCATATCTTAGTCTTGTCTGGGTGCATATTGCCTACTGTTCTTTGCGGCCTTTCAAACCAGAGCGTGATCAGGCTGCTGAGCGTTCCTGGCTTAGCGGTTCAGGATTTGTTCTGCATGTCGCAACCTGGCCAGCCATTCCTGCAACAAGCTTGCTTGATTCAGGGATGCTGGGGTCTTTAGGTGGTCAGGCCGCTGGAATTCGATGGTTGATGTGCTGGGGGGCCAGAAACAGATGGACGACGGTGTTGCGGGGTAGTTTATACTGTAGACATAATAGCCCTTTGCAGGAGTAAAACCCACGTCACAGCATTGATGCAGTTGCTCCTCTTTCCAAGCTCCGCTTGCAAATAAGGATGCAGTCTTGCAGGTCGGAACACGTCAATCTATAGTGTGGTGGTATCTCTGTTATAATTCCAGATGTTCAAGACGTCTGCCGAGCATCCCAGCTGCAACGGCGAAAGGAAGCAAACGTCCTCGAAGGGTTCAAATTCAACCTCGAAGGGCGTTGTCTTGAACTGCATTAGCCGGCATCCAACCCGGAGGCAGCAGGGCTTCGGGCTTGGGGGGGTGAAGTGTAGTTTCGGGGTGTCTGAACTGCGTATCTGCTGGAACTTCCATAGAAACAGAATACCGGTAGCGATTGATTGGGGTCTGTTCGCCCTGGGGTGCCGAGGGCCAGCTGGTCTACTTTCTACAATATCACAACATTCCCAACCGCACTGCTGCGGCCCGAATTTTTGCCCCTGGTCGGGCCCTTTGCTGACTTTGCTGTGGCGTCTCTGCCTGTGGTCTCCATTGTAGTTACTTTTTGGGGTTACCTTTTGGGATCCTTAATATAGAATTGGTTAAACCCAAAAAAGGAACTACAATGGAGACTATACGTGGGCCATCCTCTCGTCGGCACGGAATCCTCTGGTCCGAAGAGGGAACCTCCCAAGCCCGAAGCTCCCTGCAAAGGCGGGAGCCTCCCGCCGAAAGAGTTGGCCGCAAGCCTTCCACAGGGTTTGCACTCAGAGCCTCTGTACCCCCACTACCGCTTTCCAGTTACCAATTACCCGTTACCCGTTACCCGTTACCCTTACTACTGCTGCTACTACTACTACTACTACTGCTACTACTGCTACTACTGCTGGAGTGAAAACCCTTAGTGGACTACTAGAAGCAATGGCCATGCTACATCGCCTACGAAGACAGAAGAGAGACTTGGACCCAGCTCGATACCCTAACACCCAAATTTTCCACCACAAAATCGTTGAATCCCAAACTCCAATCCTAGATTCCTACACTATAGCCCCGCCTTCTCCGAGATTCGGATCTTGTGCTGCATCTTCTTGGACTTCAAGGACCAGTCAGGACGCTTAGTCTTCTTCAGCTCCGTCGGAATTTCGATGGTTCCTGGGCGGTGGAGAAGGTTTAGGGTTCAAGAGCAAGTTCTGTCCGCCCGTTGACTTTCTAGGGCCCGCAACAGCAGGAACATGCGTAGGCACAAACGGAGCAACGACTTCCATCCCAGCCAGAATAGCCATCGTTAAGATGATGTTGCATCTGCACCCGGATGAGTCATGGCGACAGCAATTCGATGCGAGCATTACTCGTGACAGGCGTAGGATTCCAGCTGCCGGCCAAAACAGCGTCAGACCTTTTGGGATCCTTACGAGGAAAGCTTCGGTAAGGCAGCGAAAACCAACAACCCTAACAACGAAATCCTACAAGGAATCACTCAACTCCAGAATGCAGGGGGGGGCATGCCTGCCCATACTCCTGAAGAAAAACTGTTTAATGACCAAAACCCTGCCCAGACACTATTGAAGTCCTGGCCCTGGAAAAACCCAACAAATAAACCTCTCTTCTTAAGCTCCCTAGCGGACCCGCCGTGTTCAAGGAGGCGAGCTGCGGCCGTTGCTGGCGCAGTCCACGCCGACTTGGCAAATCCCAGCAAGTCCTGGGCTCTCTGCGCCAAGGCTGCAGTTTAGGGTTTAGGGTTTAGGTGTTTAGGGGTTTAGGGGTTTAGGGTTTAGGGTTGAGAGGGTTTGCTAAGGGTTTCCGGGCTTTTGGAAGAGGATGCCGCGGTTGACAGACCCAGAGCTCGGGTCTTACGGTTTACTCTGCTTTTGGGGGCTGTTGAGGTGGAAGGCTTACGGTTTTGGCGATTGAGGGTTGCGCGTGGGCTTCGGATTCAACACTTCAGGGTCGAGGGGAATTGGTGGCTTCGGGGAAGAGGTTGATTGACTACTCGTTCAGATTCTGGAGCTTTGGACTGCTGCGCCTGGAGCAGTTGAAACAGTGACTTCTTGTGATATTTTGGACCTCCGAACTGCGCAAGGAGCTGGAAAAGCAAGGACATCTATCCTGGTGCATAGTGGGCTTCCCTTTTTGGATGAGGTCGCCAAGTCAGCCAAGTGTCGGAGTGCATGCTCCCCATCGAAGCCCTCCTCGTCCACCCAATCCCTGCGTTTGTTGTCCGCCTCGCGAAAGACCTGATGTGACCGAGCCTCAGCGGTTCTCAAAAGGGGGAATTCTTATGCACCCTATAAACCCTAAACCCTGAAACTTCGGGGGCGGAAATAGGAGAGATTCTCATACCCAAGGCTCCAAGGAGCTCAACATGATACCCTCAGGACGACATCTGAAGGCACATTCCTCACTTGCGCCGGGTTCAGAGGACGAGAGGCCCACCCGGGGAAGAGGGGTGAGGGGTGACGAAGCACAAAAAACCCTAATTACACCCGAAACCCCTAAACCCTAAACCCTGCAGACGAAGCACAGCCATCTCCAGCTCATCCAACATCAAACTCGGAAGCTCCGCAAGAGAAACCTTCTGCACGCGACTAGAGGGATCACAGGCCGTCAAAGTCGGGCTATAACGAGTGCGGTAACTTGGGTTGTCGTAGGCCCTCACTTGGAGTGCTTCTACCCTGACTTCTGAAGTATCCGTGAACCTTCAAGCAGATATTGGAGTTTCTCTGGATTGGGGTTCGTGCCCTGATGAATCCCGGAAGCAGGGTTCCGTCTGAGTCCATGTAAAAAGTTGCAACGAGGGTCTCGGTGGTTGCGGCTTGAGTATGCCTTACGCCTGCAATCATGTCCATATTGGATCCTTTCTCGGAGTTTGGGGGCGCTCGAAGAGTGACTACTAAGGGCTTGCAAGACTTAGAAGACCTCGTAAACGCTTAGAAACACGCAAAAAACATGCTAAAGGGATGACTCCGAAGTCGCCTCTTGCAGAGTCTTCTGGCTCCGCTCCTCAAAGCTGGCATCTTCCACGTGTACCACGGAAGGCACCACTTGATCCACAATCCTAAGCACAGAAACTCCAAGCATCCGCATGGTCTCTGAACATTTGCCCGGGGGGCTTAGGGCAGAGTCACTTTGTGGCATGGTGAGATCTTTCAACCTGCGCATTCAAGCAGCGCACAAAACTTCATAAGAAAGAGGGGTCCTCACCAAACAGGCCCGTTCTGGGTATCTTCCGAAAGGGTAGCCTGGCGTAGGGATGCGAAGCATCGGGGAGTTGAGGTTTGAGTCACAGAAAAACACACAAGAAGCCAGGCATCTCCTGATCCCAAATCAGCAAAACTTGATCTCCGTCATGGTCTCCGCCCATGACCTGTGCTCTCAAGACACAAAGAATCGGCGAGCAAAAGGCCCAAATTCTCAAGAACTGAAGGAGCCCGATTGTAAGGCCCCCCTGAAGTGTCGCGAAGAAGGTATGCAGATTCCTATAGGAGGCATGATGACCTGCAGAAGGGTATGCTTTTTTCTCGAAAGCAGAGGTTCGTCTGTACCATCAGTACGTATACTCGCCATTGCCATAATGTCGTTCTCGCCATGGTTTCCATTCTAGTCTTGCCCTACATAATCCAAACACGTATGCATGAAACACTCTCAAGAAGTTTCTCTGCGTCGGTGTAGACATGTACCTACCTGCCTACCTGCTTGCCTGCCTGCCTACCTACCTACATGTAAGTGGGCAGCTCTAAGAGCACGTCGTGGCTTGGAGCCGATTTTTGTGCATCCCAGGCCTCGGCGTCTGCCGGCTGCTGTCGGAAGCTGCACGCATTCAGAACGACCACATTCACCATGTGAGAGAGGCCTCCGGGAAGGAAGATATGCGAAGAGCAGTACCGTATTGTGGTAAGACTGACAATAGAAATCATGCTGAAGGATGAAAGGAACCGTACTTGTCACAGAAATTGATCAAACATACCGCAGCAATCGAACAGAACAGGCGAGTAAACAACACTGACCGCAAGTACTGTCGCAAGATGAACCGACTCATTAAAAGCAAGCCGAGCACGGCACAGATGTGCGTTCTTCAACACTGACACCTACATCCATCATACACATGTGTTTTGCTTGTGAACATGCACATGCGATGTATGTGTGTATAGGTATCACATTATATGCATGTACAGTATATGTATATGTACATGTGGTGTCTGTGTGTATATATATATAGGTATGTGTGTGTGTGTGCATGAGACATCTGTAGCTGTGTATGTCAGTGCCTAGTTACACAAAAAATGCGTTGCAGATGTATGTCTCTACATATGCACATAACTTTATATATGCACATACAGTATCATACATATGCGCACACATGCATGTGTGCATATACACATCCACGCATCCTACGTACATACAGGCATACATACGTTCCTACATGGCCGTCCCTCTGTGTGCATGCCTTCTCTCTCTATATACTATATACAAACAAATGCATAGACACATACTCATATACACATCCGGGCATACAGAAGGTAGAGTGCAGGAATGACCACAGACTGTAGATGTTCTCATACTACAACATACCCCCCAACCCGGTTCTTATCCTACAGGCCCCTGGATCATCTCTTGTGCGCAATGAACTCCAGGTTTTCTCCCGTGGAAGGCCTGGTGGCAGCTCGTCGGGAACCCGAAGCTTGAGCACTGCGCTGTTGTGGTAGCAGGGGCTTCGGACGAGCACGACCTCCTGCGAGTAAGGGCGTTAAGGATGATTGTTGGTTGAAGGTGGATTTCGGGTTGAGCCCGAGGGCTTGAAAGTAGCATATCGAAAAGCCAAAGTTTGCGCAGAAACGGCTGGCTGGCCAGCCCAGCCCCTCACTGCAACAGCGAATGTGACGGAATGGCGCTGCGCTAGATTGAGCTCCAGGTGGCTGCATCTACCAAACCCACGGGTTCAAACAGTGTCTCTCCGTCTAATTCTCCCTCTCTTCCCGCACTTTAGATTGTCCTCTTGCAAAGTAAAAACCCTAAATTCGAAGGATCTCATGCTGCAAAGATAATGGTGAAGGGCATGAGACCCAAGCCTTACAGCATTGCGGGTGTCACAGCTCCAAGCAGAAGAAGGGTTCGGAATCCTCAGAGATCTCCCGACAAGGTCGACATGATGTTAAATAGTGGCTCCGAAACCCTTCACCCACAAACCCCACAACTCCAACACACCGAACCGCGAAACCCTGAAACCCTCAGCGTTTTAGACCCCGCAAATTCCTATTCCTCCAAACCCATCTGAACCCAGCGCGGGTTTCATCCCTCCCAAGTGCTCCCCGACAGTCTACCCAGGGGCTCCATTATGGTTCCTTTTTGTGGTTTCTATTTAGGATCCTATACGGGAATCCCAAAAAGGAACCACTATGGAGCCTATGGGTAAGTCCAGGCTCCTTGCCCAAGAGTGATGGGGCACCGCTTCGGTGAGGAGCTTGGATGAAACACTCCCCCGCACGCAGAGTCTGCGTGTGGTCGGGCACCTCGGCCAGTAGAAAGCAGTTCAGAGAAGGGTTTTAGAACGTAGGCTTCAGGGCTTCGGGCTTCGGGATCAAGAGTTTAGGGTCTCGGTGTTTTTGGGCTCAAAGCTCCGGGGATTTGGGGGAGGTTGTGGCTGAGGATTTAATGCTGAGTGTTTTCAGGGCCTCTTCAGGGCTTTAGGGTTTTCAGTTTCGCGGGCATGCGCGGCATGCGCTGCGACATCTGAACCGAAACCTTGCGCTGTACCATTTGCTGATCCCGCTCGTGACCCATAGCCGCCGGCTGTCTGAAATTAGCACGTATGAGTTGCTTTCTTCTGGCGGGATGTTGTTTCAGGATTCACACGTACACAAGTATAACCAAACAGCCAAAACCTAGAAGCCTAAATCCTCACGAGGCGATTCTTAGAAACCCGAAACCACGCTTCTAGCAAACCTGTGCTTCGGGGTTTCGAAAGTGTAGATTCGTGTTATTTGCCTCCTAATTTTCCCTACCTTCAGACCTTCAGACAAGCAAGTATTCTGCAGCAATCTTCATTTCCTGTCATCCCGTCATCGTCATCGTCATCATCATCATCATCATCATCACCATAGTCATCGTAGACCTCATCGCCACCATCAGCGACATCATCATCATCATCATCACCATCATAACCATCATAATGTCTTCATCATCTTCATCATCACCACCATCCTCATCAGCATCACAAACACATCATGATTATCATTATCACCATCATCATGAACAACAACGGCATCATCATCATCATCATCCTCATCCTCATCCTCATCCTCCTCCTCATCGTCACCATCATCATCACCGTAAAGATACAAGCTGGCCACGATCCAGCAGCGCAGACCTCGAAGTAGGGGCAAGCGAAGGTCCTCGCGGTGGCAAGCTGTAAGATTTTTCATCGAGGGGATCTGCTACCTGCAGTTTCTGACACAAGAGCTGCAATCCTTTTCCGCGACCTTTCTCGTGTGCCGGATGTCGCAGAGTGCCGGACAATGTCTTGATAGGTGCATTATGTCCAAATTGGGCCACGCCCCCGCTGAGAATCTTCAATCATGTAGGGAAAGTGAAGCAGATGAGTCTATGTTGGAACGTCATGGCGACTTTCTTATTCATATGATAGGATGGCGAGAAGGTTGTACTGAATGGTCAAAAGCGGGGCTGGCTCATATCTCTGAATCACTCCCAAATCGCCACTCATAGCTCAGAATTGGCCAATGCGTGTCATCAGCTGCAGACAGCTTTGCTGAAAGCAATCTGAAAGCCTCAGAAGAACCTTGCTCCCTCACTGTAGTCAACTCTTGAGACACAGCAGGAGTGGCAACCGCATTGCTTGGAGTTGCGTTCGATCTTCGGCCGGCCTTCGTTGTCAACATGTTCAAAGGTTTGCCGGCGCACTTTCGGGAGTGGAAATCAAGAGGTTCAATCGAAGTTTCGTGCTTCTTCAAGCATCAACCCCCCGGTTCCTGAAATCTGCTGTGTTGAACAAGGATGAGGTGGTCCTTAAGGTAATAACAAATGCCCAACAGTGAGGCTGAGGTCTTCATGGCTTTGGCGTCACCTTCTTATTGCATCAGGGAGAGCCCTCAGGAAACGGGTGATTACCGGCTTCGAGCCCCGATTTCAACCCTGCCAAAATCCTCCGACCCTGAGCCCCAAGGCATATAAACCCTACTGTGAACCCTAAGCCCCAAATCCCCTAAATCCCCGAACTCCACGTCTTCACCCTCAGCCCCTCAAACCTTGACAGTCGAGGCACAGGTCCATTAGTTCAGAAGGCTCGGATGCCACCATGGTTCAAGTAGAGGTCAATGTCCCTAGGCCTGAGCTCTGAGCTTGCGAGGGGATTTAGGAAAGTGGACCCTTAGAGCCTACTTAGAGCCTTAGAGCTTTTTCTTGGCTTGTTGAGTTTATGCGCTATTTTCGTTTCTTCCGGGGGGGGGGGGCTTGCGAGATTTCGCAGTCGTAGGCTTTTGCTTTTGACCGTGGTCTCTTGCAGAGGCTTCACTTTGAGCTTCAGTGGTGTGGAGCATCTCGAAGCCTGGATGCCAAAGGGCACACACACACATGCCCCAAACACTACTGCTCGAATGTCAAAGCCCAACAACTACGGCAGCATCCAAAAGCCGCACGTCGCACGAAGCGATGCACGACTCTGCCTCTGAGGTTTAGTAGTAGGCCTGCTGCTGCTGCAGCTACTGCTGCTGCTACTGCTACTGCTACTGCTACTGCTACTGCTACTGCTACTGCTACTGCTACTGCTACTAATACTACTACTACGACGACGACGACTGCTACTACGACGACTACGACGACGACTTCTGCTGCAGGTCCTGTTTCTATTTTCGTGACAATGTGTTCCCAGTATGGTCTTCACAACTCACACGTGGCATCTGCTTGACACCAGCCACCGTCAATCACGTCAGCCGTCAATCACACCTCCTTTGGCACTATCCCCACAACAAGTTCAGCATCCATCTGTCCAGCCTCATCCAGTTCGTTTGATCCCATTTTGCCTGACCTCAATAAAACTAGACAGTGATCTCTTCGTCGTTTTTGCTTGTCCGTTCAGGCATTCGAAAGCGGCCCTCAGCTGCAGTGCTCAATCGTGAAGCCCAAATGCTCACAGTTTGAGGTCCTGAAAGCTTAAACACCGACGCCAACAACCCATACCATTTCCTCAACAACAAACAACCCAAAGCCCGAACCCCTAAAATACAACACACACACACACATGCAGAACTAAACACCCAAAGCGCAACAACCCAGAGTCTCGTGAATAGCCGAGGTTCATGGCCTCCATGAGTTCGACGTACCTTGGCTGACGGAGCTTGTGGAGATCCCCGGCCTTTTCAACCTAAAAGTGTGGGAAACTGCAAGCTTTGAGTTTTGGATCTAGGATGTTTGTCAGCAGGGGTTTAGCGATTTAGGGGCTAAGGCATACTGTTTATGATCCTGGTGCTGCCTCCGGATGGACACAGGAAAGCTCTGGAGACACTACCCGGTCCGGTCCCAGAGCAAAGAAACTGACACAGACACATACAATCAACATTCACCTATAGCCACCCAAACAGTCGCAACGTACTAAGCTAGCACGAAAGCAAGCTGCCGAACACAACTGTTTAAGGCCTGGGGTGCAGGGCTTTCATCAGCACAAGCCGTTGCTTCGTTATGTTCCTTGTCGCTCCTTACATGGGACACCCAACGGTTGTCGAAACAAAGGTTGAGACATGGTGTGATTAGCTGTCATAGATGTCCTGCCTCATGGAGGGCACCCTACGGTTTGGAGAAGTGAAAGCCACACCTCACCTGGAAGCCGACAGATGCAAGGGGCCCTGGACCCTGACCTGTGCAGGCGCGAGGCCTCGTGCCGATTGTCTGGAAGTTCTTCTCAGTGTAGGCTCTCTTAGCCTGGGTGGCTGGGAATTCTTGTCGCAGTGTACATGGATTCGCCGCGCCTCCCTCTCACTGTTGGCTTGTGCTGGCTTTTGTTGTGTTTGGGGAGAGGGCGCTTGGGCTCAAGTCTTCTCAACGCAGACGTTGGGGTCAGATCTCTGGGAGCGGATGTTGACTCAGACTCTTCGAGACACACATCGCCATGGCCTGTCGCCTGCACCCTCACACTCCGAAGCGGAAAAGAAAAGCAGCTTGGGGTTTAAATTGGTTTAAAGTTCCAAAGCTTCGGGACATGCTCTAGACTACGGATCCCGAGGCAAATCTCCAGCAAGTTCTTGGCAGTAACCCCCCCTCTCCTGCGCATGATCTTGAGCCCTAGACCCTGGACCTCACACGACCGCGAGCTACTCTTAGAAGCTCTTGCGCCGCCGCAAAATCTGCGTTGAGGTGTATGGCCGCGCTACCGGCTACGGGGCTTTGACTGTCACTGCTCTTGACATGCTTTGCGAAGCATGTGAATATCATCGCCATCGTAAGGACGATGATCATCATGATCCTCCTCCTCCTCCTCGGCTCTCCTCCTCTGCGTCATCACGACCGTCTCTAGATGAGTAGCCTGGACTATTGCGTATATCCTCTCGATTTTGGTCCGCCTTTTCTCGTCTGGGAATTCCCAAAGACACGGGACCTTCCCTATACCCACAGGCTCCTTAGCAGTTCGTTTTTGAAATTGCCTTACAGGATTCGAAATACAACCCACAAAACGGAACTACGAAGGAGCCTGTGGGTAGCTACCCGCATCCCTTCAACACACAAACCCACACCTGCCTCCTCTGCAGAGACGAACTCCACAAAGCCGATGCCCGAAGGGCGGCCGGAGTCGTCCATCTAGCGTGGGGGTGAAATGATGAGTAGAAAGCTTGGGGCTGAGGATTTATCCCTTTCTATTCGTAACCCACGAAGTTTGCGGCCTCTGGGACTCTTTTCTTGCTTTTTGGGATCTTCAATGCTCCAGGAGCCTACACTTTCTGACGCTTTACGCGCTCCGAAGTACACACTGCCCCTACGCTAAGACGTCTTGCTATGAAGCCGGGTCTGCAAAGGCGATGCCCTGAGTTCAAGGAGGGACTTTGGACTCTCCGGTTGTGCTGAGCATCATGATGCTTCCTCAACAGGGTCTGAGATTTAGGGTTTAGGGTTTAGGTTAAGCTGCCTTTGCGGGTTGTTCACTCGCCTACAACAGATGAGGTCTCGGGTTTCGGTTTTCGGCGGCAACATTGCGATGCTCATCTAAAACATTGATGTGTGCTTTAGGAGCTTAGGGTGTAGACAGTCCGAAAGTTAAATGACCAACTAGAACGAACCAAGCCTCTACGAATAATCACAGATGCCTCCAAAAGCTGTAAGGCTATTCCTATTCCACCTAGGTGAAAATAATCCGATCCGAAGCGGTAGAAGCGCGATGCTGCTGCCCAACTACAGCGCGAGAGCTAAGCTGGTGCCTTCAGGTGAATCCTGCCGGTCATCTGGTAGCCAGTGAAGAATGCCCTCACCTTCAGAACTGGTTCCCTGTTGGGGCCAATATTGAGAATGATCATTTTAATCCTGAATAGGCTTTCAAACAAAAAAATTGTATCCAACAAGGACCCAGAGAACCCTAAACCCGAACCGGTTCAGGTTTTGCACTTGTTCAGGCTCAATGAACTCGGAGAGTGCAATCAGCAGGGCAACAGAAGTGCTACAGGGCTCTCATCTGCCTTCGTGTGAGAATTCTCCTTCAGCTTTGTGGGTAAATCATGCAACTTGTTAAATGGAAGGGATCAAGCCTCTGTTGTAAGGACTGAAAACGTGTCGACTTTCTAGGTAAAACCATCATGGCTGCTTTGGCTTGAGCTCCTGGGTTCAGGTGTGAGCACCTGAACAGACTCCTTTGCTGGCTCCAATGCCCGCAACACAACAAGCCTCTACACAAGGCTGTACAACCCCTGAACTCCCCCAAGACCCCCCCCCCCCCAAACACCGAGAAACCCGCGCCAGAATCCCCCAAGCCTCCAACACTTGAACACGCACCACTTGTTATTTCCTGTGTCCTGCTAACTTAGTCTATTCCCATAACAGGGAAAGTGCACGTTGCTTCTTCTTTTAAGGTAGCTTCACCCATGTATTCAAGCATTCACAGAGAAATAAAGCAAGCAGCCACTGTGAGGGAACCTTAAGAAATGGTAGTACTGAGTATTTTTCAGAACCCTATCTTCGGCGCTCAAAACAAATTTCAGGAGTTCGGTCCCACCTCGTCCTCGGTCGCCGAGAAGGGCAGTCCCTGCAGTCTGAGGCCTCACTGGATCGGAGTCCCGTTTAGGGTTTAGGGTTTAGGAGTCCCACCAAAAGGGGCCGAGCCGAAGCCCCTACAACGAAAAGGCCTTTTTGGGGGGGGCAAAAAGAGGGTCGACGATCGAAGGCTTCAAAACGTGATGTGCCTTGGGGCCCTTAGGATCTTCTTCGTGCACAAGCGGCTACTGCAAGGATCCGGGGAGCGTCACTTTTGGCTATAATTACCCATGCAAAACCCTAAGGGTCCATGTATCCAAATAAATATACTTTGGCCTTAAGGTAGTCCCTATTTGGGTACTTTGGGGCCTGTGTATATCTATTTGGCTACATGGACCCTTAGGGAAAGGCACTTCTCGGGTCTGAGAGCTCTGTTGGTTGTGTTCCCCGAAGGCCCGCGCTTCCCAAGGAATTAAGCACTTTGCACAACGCATACTTTGACCAACTTCCGGCAGGGGCACATCTGGAACCCCCCCGTGTGCGAGACGTGTCTCACTTCGAAGCAGTCCGCAAGGGGCAAAGAAGCGGGGGTTACAGGATTTGGGATCCACGGCATCTCGGGCTGACTGTCCAAGGTCGGCACCAACGGAAAATGCCAGTAGGAAGGGTTTGGGTCTCGATGATGTCGACATAGGGCGACGGAGCACTATGGAAACCCCCAAAACCCTCAGGAATAAAATGCCCATATAGGATGAAGGGCTCACCAGTAGTCTGATCAGTAGTCAGCACCCATAGGCCCCTAAGCAGTTCCTTTTTGGGATTATATATAGAATCCTATAAGGTAATCCCAAAAACGGAACTACTCAGGAGCCTATCGGTAGTCAGTACACCACTCCCAAACACCCCCGGAATACGAAACCCGAGAGCCGAGGGGCAGTTGTTGGAAGGTGGTCGCGCGCCGGTTGCTTTCCCTGTGCCTGGCGGCCGAGAGCCGAGAGAGAGAGAGAGAGAGAGGGAAAGGGTTAGGGCTTGTAGGGTTTATAGGGTCTAGGGTTTATAGGGTTTAGGGTATTTAGGGGGTTTAGGGTTTAGGATTATAGGGTTTGGTGTTGAGAGAAGACGGCGCAAGGGGGCTTTGGACAAAAACAAGTCCCCCCCTTGTTTTGCTACTTCAATTCTGGGGGAGCTCCGCTGATTCGGTGGACCCAGGCCCAGGCCCAGGCCTGGGAGGGGGGGAGGAAAAAGCGCTGAAAAAAGAGCCCCGGTGAAGGGATATATCACTCGGATTCTTATCGCTTATTCAGATAATCGGAGCGGAGGGAAGTCGTCGTCGATTCCCGTAGGGTGCACGCGCACGCATTGTTCGCGACACGAAGCCTGCACACGAAACAATCACATCTAGAGGAGAGCCTGCTTTATAGTTGTCCACGAAGCCAGGGTTTAAGGGGTGACCGGGAAATTTACAAAGGCAAAGGACTCCGAATCAAGGACCATCGCCAAACCCAAACCACCAAGCTCTTCAACAGGAAAAGCCCTCGATGCATCTCCCTGGTCTTTCAGCCACACAGTGGTAAAGCCCACGATAGAAAGGACCAGAACTCCAGAGCCTGAAATTTCTTGGAATCCCTAGGAACCCAAAATGGCCCAACCCTAAACCCCAAACCCCTAAACCCCAAAATAGCCCAAAGAGCCATCCCGGCCTTTGCCGCCGCCTCCTCCCCAACCCTTGCCGCCGCCGCCCCAGGCTCCGGCGCCCCAGTCGCCGCCTTTTCCGGTGCTTTTCAGTCCTTTTTTGGCAGAATTCATATAGGGGTTTAAGGTTTTTGGCAGAATTAATATAGGGGCGTTTAGGGTTTTGGCGGAATTTGTATAGGAGGCCTTTATTAATTCGAATATAGGGCCTATAGGGTTTAGGGGTATATTATACTATGAATTGTAATGAGGAGCCCCCCAAAACCCTATTCTAAGTATTCTTGTCTTCGCTCTTTTCTCCCCCTCCGGGGCTTGGGCTCGGAGTAGTTAGAAGTCATTTCTGCTTAGGCTGGCACTCGGTCCCGTGAACCCTGCCGCGCCTAAGCCTCGCAAGCCTTCACCTCTAAACCTCTAACCGCGCAGTCCTAAACATTAACCCTCGAACGACTCAAATTCCGGCCCTCAACTCGTCTAGTTCTGCCCAGACCCAAGCCCACAAATCCAGCAGCACGAAATGAGGAATCTCTTGACATCGGTCACTTGTTGGATGGGTCTCATGCTGAAGATCCAGAAGAGGGTCTTTCTGAAGGATCTGGCAACTTCCGGGTTGCATTGGGGTGCCATGTTTTCTGGAACTCCCGCATCTTGTTCGATTGGTCGTCCCAACGGCATTGTTGGTGGTGGTAGTAGCGGGAGGAGGAGGAGTAGGGTGCGGGGAAGAAGTAGCAGTTCCGTGCAGACGTGGACGGAGGAGTTGAGTGACAGTCGAAGAGGAGGAGCAAGAGCAAGAGTTCACTAACAAGCAGTGCTGGCAGAACTCGCAGTACCACGAAGACAACGACGAACAATTAGAATTATGGTGACCACTAGAACACAAAGGACGTTTAACCAGGATCAGCGTTCAAACGCTGTCGACCTCGAAACAGACCCCCGAAAGCCAAAAGCCGCAACCCACGGATCCGACTTTTGCCTCCGCCCATGCCGGCGAGGGCGCCGCCACCTAGGCCGCCCAGAGCACTCACGAGGAGCTGCATCACCTCTGCGATTCGACAGTTGGGGGATGGCGGGGGATGGGGGAGAGGGGGAGCTTGTCATGATCTATCTCTTGATCACGGCCCATTCAAACCAGAAAGAGGGGCTGCCCAGCTGCTCGGAGGACGTGGGGCAGGATTCTTGGGTTTCTCATCATGTAAGTGCAAAGCATAAGGGTAAACCGAGCAGAGTTTCGAGTTTTCTCCTATACCATCTTCAGGATTCTCAGATATTCAGGTCCGGCAGCCTGATCTCTGGGACGGACGGCTGCAAAGCCAGGCTCGTGAGGCACTTCTGCTGAAACGGGTTTCGGGTATCTACCTATAGTCACCATTGTAGTTCCTTTTTGGGATTACCTTTGAGGATTCTTCATATAGAACTGGTTAAACCAAAAAAGTTAAGAGGAACTACAATGGAGACTCTAGGTAGAGTGTACCAGGACCCTGCGTAACTCGTTTCGCTTCAGGGCTTTAAGCCATCGCGTTCAGTGGTCATGTGCTGAGGAAGGTACGCAGGTTCCAGGTACGGTTCCCAAGAGATTTTCTGAAGCGCCAACTCGGATCAGCTTTTCGGCTTGGCACTTGCCAGGGTGTGGATTTTTTGGGGTTTAGGCTTTCGGGTCCAGGCGTAAGAGACCGGTCAGGTCATAGAAATTCTGAACATCCTATATCCCCCCCATGATCGAAAGAACAAGCTGCCTCCCTTTGAAGAGACACACCTCATTGCCCAGGCGCATCCATCATGCCACCTTTCCCGCCAGCGGCGGCGCCGCCCATCATTGCGCCCTTGCCAGCCATACCGCCGCCCATGCCTGCTGTAGGCGAGTGGTGGGCTGCAGGGTTCCTATGCCCTTCAGTTCTATGCCAAGTTGAAAGGAAGGGCATGAGGCTGCAAGCGAAAGCTCACTGGTGCAACAGTAGCACTTGCATGAGCCTGCAGGAAAGGGAATTACTCCAGCGCCTTTCAGCATTCCCTTGCCGCCGCTCTTGGGTGCTGCGAATTGGACGGTCACCTGGCGCGTCTGGGGACTTCAAGGGCATTTACGTACTCTTTTACGGGGCTATAGGTTAGATCTCAGGCCGTGGTGCCGAAAGGGACCTGCAACTGTGGCCCAGTGTAAGCCCGAACTCGAAACTCTGAAAACTCTGAGCCTTATGCACCAAAGAGACAGAAAGCTGACAACGTAAGCCTTGATCCGAAACGGAACACCAGAACCTAACAACTCTTGCAAAGCGGTGGATACGTAAAAAAAGCCTTCCTTGAAGCTCTGAAGTTTCATCTCAACTCGCAAAGATCAACGCCCCGAAGGGACAAGGCCCACTCCTCAGCCCTGACATCGCTAAGTCTAGGGTATCAAGCGGCACAAGAGAAGTTAGGAGTAATCTGAAGAACCTGAAACATAAGACTTAAAGACGGGCCCTTGCGTACAAGACGAAAGCACCCCTAAGTAAATGCTGCAAGTGCGGATAACCTCTACTCATCCCTCAACTCCCAAAGAACAGATATATAAATATATATATATATACATACATATACATATATATATATGTATATTCATTTATTTATCTATCTATCGATCGATCTATCGATCTGTCTATCTATCTATATCTATGTATCTATACATATATATGTATATATAATCCTAAACCCTCAAAGCCACCCTCCAACTTTTCCCAAGTCACGGGAGAGACGAGGCTCTGGGGCACGTTGCCGTTCCTGGGCTCAATCAAGACTTCGGAGGTCATTTTTGTCTTTAGGCTAAGTCTTTAGGTTTTAAAAGGGCCGTGGTGAGGCTTGCGGCTTAGGGTTTAGGGTTTAGGGCTTAGGGTCCCTATAGGGGCCGCCAGGGCATGGCCCCACTTTCAGCCCAGCTTCACGTGCTCCACGATCCACTTCGCGTCATCAACACTGGTCATCGTGACCTAGGTAGGAGGTAGGAAGAGTTCGGTTATTGAAGCTGCAGGGGAACTGCTACAGGAGCTGCACATCAGCCCCGAATGGGATCTCTGACCCTCTGCGCAAAAAAAACCCACTAGACTCCATCATGTACCCCTTTGGCTGGGGACCTTTCTCTGCCGCGTTGTAGCCTTTTGCAACTACGGTTGGCATGCAAGTGCTTCTGTACGGCGGAGCCAACATCCAACTTCCGAACAGAATCGAAAAACGTAGTTGCTGCCATTAGGATCAATAGTCTATTGTTGTTGATATAGCATTCTCACAACATGGCAGCTTGGATTAAGCGCGTCAGCAAGAACTCCTCGGAAGTGCAGACTGCGACTAAGGATTCTAATTCTCACACCCCCTGTTAGCTCTCCGTCTCTGTGCTGTTTAGGGTTTCGGCTGTACCTGCGTCCTCCTCGGGGTGTATGACGTTGTTTGTTAATAAAGGTAGCTTAACTTCGCGCGATTGTGTAACATGGTCCTAACATGGTTGTGTAAAGGATCAGAGGATACCCTGGTGGGTGTCGGAAGGACTTCCCTTCGGTAGGCGAAGTAGCGCGTTAACTTGAGGCCATAAGCAACTTGCAGCTATCGCTGCAGCTCTTGAAACATTCACCTGCACGCTCCCGTCTGCCCTTTTAGGCTTTCTAAAAAGGGCTCCCAAACAAAAAGGTGCTTTTTTTGCTTCGAGGGACGATGGCAGCTGCAGCCTCCTTGCCTGCGAGCACCGGTAGCACGTTCACGTCTTTCACCTCAGAGAGGCGAAAGCTTCTGCGGCGTTCTGTACCCCTGGGCTCTCCACAGTAGTTCCTTTTGTTGGGATTAGGTTTAGGATCCTATAAGGGTAATCCCCAAAAAGGAAGTACTATGGAGCCGATGTGTGTAGAGCGAACTTCAGCCCCAATCAGAGTCTAAACACGCTGGTCAACGTGTGTGAAGGGCAAACAGGTCTGTCGTTCAGAAAGCCTGAATTTCAGCGCCTTGGTTCCCGGTGAACTCTTCTATGCAGTTCTGGACATTTGCTTGACATCTTCCTTCCTGTGCGCCTGAAGTGAACTATACATGTTACCTGCATAGTAATCCTAGGTCCACAAGATGATGCCAGCCTGTAAAGCCTCCGCTCTCAGGCGGGTCGCCGTGCCATACTGACCAAAAATGGATCTGGCGAAGTCGTTCGTGCAATCTTTGGGGAGGCCGGTGATGAAGAGAGCTTCACTTGGCGGATTTTGCCTCGGTCGAAACCAGGCTTCTTTGAGGGATTTTGAGAGCTCTACCAGATAGGAGTGGCTGGTGGTGGTGGCGTCTGTAGTCGTAGTCGTTGTGGTGGGTGGTGGTGGTTGTTGTTGCGGAAGGTGGTGGTTAACATGCCAACTTAGGGTTGCTTGCAGCAAGGGCGGTCAGAGCTGTTTTTTGGATCCGGATCTCTTTGTCACGTTACAGGCAAAGCAACTCGAGGTACCCTTCACACTGCTTCTAACTGTTCATGTACCTCCAGGTAGAAACACCACCATTCATGCCTTGATGCAAGGTTTCCCACGACTTGCAGACAAGGAGCATCATGGCACGTACACTAACTATCAAGGCCCCCCAAACGTGCACAGATGCTTAAGCCAAACCTGCGGCAAGGTCCGTTTGCATGAACCCGTGCCGTGTAGAGAAAGCAGATTTTTTGTCCTTTCAGTGTAGACAGAACAAGGACCAGCATGCTCATGCATGCAACCTGCATCCAGCCCACGCGCCAGAAGTCTTATTGAGCAATAAACATCAAACACCTCAAGCTACTTTGTTGGATACTCCCGTCGCCCTTGGGCCAAATTAGTTGGGACATGGCAATGAGAGTAGTGCTCTTGGGCACCCTTCTGCTACAGCCATAATATCTGCATCTTGCAGATGGACTGACCTCACAGGCAACACTACGAACTGCTTCGGCACATGACTAGCCCCAAACCCTTGTCTTCAGGTAGCTACATCACCATGATGACGAAGTCTTTACTCTTCCAGAAGCTGTGCTTCTGCTTCTTCTGGTTCTACTAGCAACTTAGAGTTCTACTGCCAAAACAGCAACATCCACTGCGACGACGACTACTCCTGCTCCTCCTGCGTACGTTGAGGCCAACTCTCCACGCTACCTAGACCCTGAAATGTAGTACCTTTTTTTGGGTTACCTTAGTTTCTTATTATAGGATCCTAACCCTAAAATAGGTCATTAAAAAAAGGAACTACATTTAAGGGTCTGGGTATTGCAAGACTCAGACACGAGGAAACCGCCAGGCAGGTCCCATTAAAAAAAAAAAAGGAACTACATTTAAGGGTCTGGGTATTGCAAGACTCAGACACGAGGAAACCGCCAGGCAGGTCCTCACCGGCACGACGCCGGAGGTCGGTACAAACCCGGAAGCGGAGGTCCACGAAGTTGGGCTCCTGCCACGGGACCTGGCAAGGAAGGATCCGGGACTGAACCTCGGGATTTGATTTTCTTCTTCTGCAGAAAAGATTTTACATGTCGCCGACACAGATAGATAGATAAATCGATCGATCCATGGATGGGTGGATGTATGGATGGATGCAAAGGCAGATAGATAGATGGATAGATGGATAATGATAAATAGACAGACAAACACGGACTGAAAGCTCTCCTATTGAAGGTTATTTGGTTTTGGGATGCTTTGCTTTCGGGGCTCGGCCTAGACCCTCAGGCGGTCGGAGTGTAACGCAAAGATTTAGCGAGCCTACCCTCAAGCCTGATCTCCAAAACGTTCAGAAGGCCTGTGGAATCTCGGGACGACAGGCCTTCAGCCCCACTAAAGCATGACAATCCAAGCTCTGCCTCCCAAGCCCAGACTTCTGTCAGGGGGAGTGGGTATCGGGAGCCCAGAACACTTCAAGCTCAAAAGCCTGGAGGTCCATGAACGAATGCAAGGGTTTCTGGAGGCCAGCCTGACAGCGCAAAGGTGTTTCGGTCTCTTGCGTGGAGGTCAGGCCGCATGACTCCGGTGCTCAAGAAACTGCTGAGAGATCGTATCTTGCCAGGGTCAGAGGTAGCCGCATTCCGGCACGCAGCTGAAAGCTAGGTGAACCACCTGGTTGAACAAAAGTCTATCGCACTAACCAACTGTTTTCGATGCCACCACTGCCACCGGTGCCGCCTTGATGATCTGGGCGTTCAGCAGACGCTCAAGCGCAGCATGGCCAGCAGCCTGCACTTGAGAACATGTGTGGAGAAGTACGGTGAAAAGTAACATGCTCTTTGTGTACAGACGCACCCATAAATACCGACACCCTGCCTATCTTGTCCCGGGACAACATAAGGGGGCTTGAACATCAGCGGCAGGGTGTGGGGTATGCTTTAGTATACCTATGTAATCACGATATTGGATACTACTACATACAATTACGTCCTAACTATTCAGACCTTTATAGTGTACGTGTATACATGACACACATATACACATATATACATATATTAAATACTATATATATAAATATATATATATATGTTCAATATACCAAGACCCGACCAAAAGCTCTGAACATGGAAAGGGGGCTTGTTGCCGAAGGATTCTTGCACAGTTTCAGCTGTAGGTTTCGGAGGTTTCAGTATTCATATGCAGATAGCCGCGGATTTCAGGCCGTTCTTCGCTTTGAGGGTGTTCGAGGCTTTGGCTTCTCGATTCTTTGCCCTCCGTCTCGACTTTGAAGCCCAGATCTCAGGAAAACAATCTCGACTCTGATTTGCCGGATGGGGCCTATCAAGGGGAGTGGTTTAGCGGCATACACTTCAGACCCGCCGCCGCCGCCGCCGCCCCCACCACCACCACCACCACCACCACCACCACGG